CCCTGAAGGGAGCATGCTCCCTGAAGAGCAGCACCTGAAGAGGCTCATTCCATGAGGGCCAAAGGAAGCAGAGAAATGACCTCATTGATGACCATCTGTGTTAGACAATATTTGGAAGCACAAGAGTTTTTCTTCAGGGTTGACTGCATCATGGTTGAGCAGCTCATTAGCTCAAACATCACACGATAACTTGAATTCTTGCAAAATAAATAAATACATAAATAAAACAAAAAATCCTGCTACTGTTTGATTTAACTGGTACCAGTATGAAGGAATGCTCCTGAATAAAGAGAGCCACAGATGCACAGGGGAGTCTCTTGCAATTGAGAACCAACAAGAAAGCAGACTCTGCCAGCCCAATGCGCACCTCTTGTCCATGTGTTCCATTCCTTCCTCAAGAACAGAGTGCATGCTAGCCTGGGGTAATGGCAGGTCCCAGGGAAGTATTGGGCAAAAAAACTGCTGCATATTTGCCAAGATCTTCCCTGCACGCTCTGATTTTTTTTCTTTCCTATAATTTGCAGAGGAGAAAATCCCCTCCTGACAGAAAGACCTGTGAGCTTCCACCACTCTGTCATACCTGTGCCACCAGCCCACAGGGTGCAAAATGGCAGTGATGCTCAGTCTCTGCTTCCAGAGAGTATCTCGTGGTGGAGCAGAGAGGAATGGCTTGGTGGTAGTGCTGGTTTCTCATCACTTACCAAGAGGCAGTACTAAGCATCGAGCCTGGCCTCCACTGCAGGTTCTTGACATGAATGTCATGGGAAAAAAAACCCTGCAGAATGACTGTCACTACTGCTGAACCACCAGCAGCCTTGTCCGGCAAGAAATATTTGCATGTGTCAGATGGATATAGAAAATACATTATCTATGTGTTTCTGAGGCTACAACACAATGGTGGTGGGAAAAGAAAGAATTTATGGATAGACCAGCTCTTGCTCTCCTTTTAACAAGCATGCCCTGGCACTGCACCACTTCTTCCAGAAAATGAGCACTAAAATAATCTTCGTTGGGAGATAAAACTCGAGCAGAATCAGGAACCAGAGCCATTTTGACAGCCTGTTACTTTCATTCTGGAGACTAACCAACTTTCAGATGAATGCTGGGGCTCGCAGGGAACCTGCTCATCAGGCAGTATGACAAATCCCTGCTAAGACTAGTTGCCAGTGCAGCTGTAACTGATAGCTGATCATTGCTATGGATTTCACCCTCTCCCAGACCAGTTCCCTCAGCTTCTTCAAGCCTTATCCTGCAGCCTTTTGCACAGCTCTGGAATGGTGTAACCTTCTGGCTCATTTGGACCTACAGACCAGACTGCCAGGAGCTCTCTGCCCCCATCAGGACTCTTTGCATAAAGTAGCAAAGGTAGCAGATAAGCGAGCTTTCCTGTTTCCAGATGGATTTTAAAGGCTTCCACAAGCTTGGGGACAAAATTTTCTCATGCAAGTGTGATTCCAAGGCTGACAGGGAGGCACCTCTTCCTCAGATCAGTGTCTCACCCACCCATAGAAATCACATCTCTCACATTTTGTTTGCTTTTCTTGGGTTTAATACGTGCTCAGGTCCATCAGCACCTTGCCTATTGAGATGAATTACTCCCCAGAACCTATGACTTTGGACTGAATATCTTAAGCTTATCCAGTTTACATCCAACAGAAGGATAAAAAGCAAATAGCTCTGTAATGATTTTTTTTTTTTTTTTTTTAATTTTATTTGTAAAGAGCAGATCTTTTGCGTATCAGGAAAAACAGTTATACAACCAAAAAGAGCAAAGAGCTCATGGAAGTGCCGCAGAAAAGACTTTGATCATACACTGTAATTGAAAAACACCTGGAATCACCAAGCAAGGTGAGGAAATTAGAACAGCAGGGTTCCTGACCAAACTGAATGAATAAACACATTGAGAATTATATTAGAGTTCAGTAGAAACATCGTCTTTGATACTGTTTTGCATGAAGAAGAATATGGAAGCTCTGTCAATGACGTGTTGACAATGCAAGGAAAAAAGGGCACAGAAAAGGCAATGAGCATTTGAAGTGGAAACAAATTTGAACAGACAAATGCACTCCAGTCAGAGGACAAAATATTCTTGATCCCAGAACAATGAGGAATCAGCACATGATCACCACTGACAACAGGGCTCTCAACAAAAATACCCGTGAGGAAAGAGAGGAATGAGTCAAAGCCGCATGCCTGGAAAATAATCAAGGTAAGCCTTACCTGTTCTGAAAGAGGAAGGGAACTGACCCACCTGAGATCAATCAACCTGCCCTTCAAACACAGTACAGAAGGCATTCAAAAAAGCATTGGAAAACATTAATGAAAGTGGGAAATAAATGAAAAACAGGGCAAAACACAATATTGGTTTGCCAGAGGTGTGTCACCATTTGGGTATCAGGTATAACACCAGAGTGAGCTCACCAGGAACATCAGACTGGAACTAAAGCCATCTCTAGGACAGAGAAATTGTTCCTTCACTGCTATTAAAGCCCCAGACATGCTGACAGGCAACAATGGAGAGGGCCATTTCCAAGTCTACCACATAACTCCTAAGCACCTGCACATTCTGCAATGCAGGTCCAGGTGCTTTGGATCCAGCTGTACTGCATCCCAGAATTCTGCATCAAGGCAGTGGAAGAGACACACAACAGCAACCTTATCTCCCTGATGTGAATCCATTCAGCCAGCTCCAATCCCAGAAGCTCTTGCCCATCTTTTAGGCTCAAGCCATCTCAAGACAGATAATCTCTGTGCACTCTCACTGCTTAACAGATGCTACTATAAGTATGGCGCCTTCCAGCTAGGCACATCCTGTGTATCCTGAGGAGCATTCCCTTCCACGTAGAAAAGTATGCTGCATCACATTTTTATTGTTAGATAAACACTGTAAACACACCATACACAAATTTTCTTCTACAACACGACATAGGTACATGTATGCTGCATACATATATTCTGTTTCACAACCTGAACTTTGGACCATGATGCATCTACAAATGCACACGTGTTGTCCTTGCCCCCAACACCCTTCTGTGGGAGCCTATTCTGCAGAGACACACAGGAGAGCACTCCCAAATCATAAGGCAAGGATTCAGGCAGAGGTGAGAAGGAGCTGCAATTAAGGAAGACCTATAGCACTTCCAGGACATCATCACAGAGCTGTGAGCAGAATTCATTTTGCACCATGAAGTCCCACACTTCACACCTAGCAGTCTAAACTGGAAGTAGGGGTGCATCTTCTCCACGGAGTGCTAAAGGCTGGAGGCTGGAAAGCCTTGCCCTCCACAGGGATGGAAAGGGAGCAACTGCCTGAGAAACCACAGCAGCAAAATGGTTCCCTCAGGCAAGTGCTGTACAAAAGGCTGTGCTGAGGATTGTGCCTAATCTCAGCAAAGCTGCGGGGGATGCACGATGCATTGACCATCTCAGGGAACACAGGGAGAAAGGCTGGAGAATGATATTACCAACCACATGTTTACACTCCCTAACCATGACAACCCACATATCCTTCCCTGTGACCTCTACCGCTGGTTTCTGACCCTCAATTCTCTATTCTTCTAGCTCTGCAATGTTCCCCACATCTGCCTCTTCTGCTTCAAGATTCCTTTATAGCTATGCCAGATTCTCACCACTTCATGATCTCTATCATCCTGTGGCTCTTAACATGCCTAAAGATGCTTTATCTGAACTATCTTCAACTTATTTCAATGCTCAGCTGCCCCTAGGCAGCTGCCAAGCTGGCACACTGCAGAAGCGTTTTGTGAAGAGGTTGGACATGCCAAGCTTGCTCATTAGCAGCACCAGGAGGTACGGCTCCATTAAGATCACATTCCTCTGATACCTCCAACTGCAACTACACATTCTGAGCATTTTCCATAGCCCCGCTGTTTGTTTGCTTATTTACTTAACATTGCTATGCTCCCATGTATACATTTGGCTACAGTCATATCAATGCATCACAGATATCTAAATTCCACTGTTTTATATTTTTCCTTTATTGTTATCTCTGTCATTCTCATCACTGCCTTTCTGATACACATCCTTCTCTTTGTTCAAGCTCTTTTCCTTTTGCATTTGCGGCAGCAGTTTGATGGAAGGATTTGTGCAGGGGATGGGGGAGGGAAGAAGAAGGAAAGCAGGGAGGAGGGAAAAGAAGGATTTGGTTATAACAGGAGCATGTAATTAAGCTCTGGTAACTGGTACGCAGCCTGGACCACTCATCTCAGTAATTAAAAATAGTAATTCCTCCATTATGAGATAACCTTTCTCATCTAATCTACAGAAAGAGGCAGGGAGAAAGCATTCATTTACATAGTCAGCACTGACACACCCTTGGTGACACAAAGGACTCCAGTCTGCATAGATCCCAGTGCATCATTTTGCACAGCAACAAAGCTTTACCTGCCACACTATTTTATCCTAACGGCCTATGCTTTTTGAGGCATTACTAGTGTTAAAAAAATAAAAATAGAAACGATAAAAGCCAAAAGCCATAATGACAACAGCCCTTCCTCTGCCATGTCCTTTGTTTGTCTTTTCATGGAAGCGCTGTCTGTCAAAACAGCTTTTGAGCGGCACAGCAGCATCACCACTGGGGACGGACAGAGAGTGTGACAGCTCGTGGGATCACAACAATCCGTGTGGGCTCGGCTGTCATGGCAGACACAATGGAGAGCTGTGCGACTGCACCAAGAGAGCTCTGTCAAGGCAAAACACAGCTCGCCTCTGCTCAACCAGACATGACAATCGTTATTTCCTAGCCACAATGGACAAACACTCATTCTGCACAGCAGTACCAGCCTCTTCACTCTCTTGCATCAATTATAATCACAACAGCTCCAAAGCAGTTTCTGAGCAGACAAAGCAGTCATAAAATCTTTAAGCTTCACTGGGAAGCTGCCAGTCCCTTCCAAAACAAACCGGCCGTTTTTGCAGGACAGTGAACGGCCTGAAATCCAACAGTAGGGCAAACACCCACCCCACTCATTTCTCCATCTCACCTTTCTGCAGATCCTCTGCTGCCTGTCTCCACTCCCTGCACATGCTCTGCTCCGGCAATGCTGAACACACTGATTCCAGCAGGCTCTGTGCTCTCTCACCAGGATGCTGTGGGAAACACAGAAGCAATTTTTTTTATTCACAGCTGCATCCCTGGCAATGCAGAGGGTCTGCGCAATCACATCTCCAATGCTTCTGCTGCTGCTGCTGTGACGTTGCTGCGTGTGAAGGAGCAAGCATGCCCACAGCAGAGCCGCTCCGGCTTGCAATCGGTCCCTGCGGGACCTCAGACAAGGCAGGAGATGGGAGGGAGCAAAAAAGGAGAGGAAGGGAGAGAACAAATCAGACTGGAAGATGGAGGATTGATTTTTACAGGAATCGGGAAATCAGGAAGGTAGCATGAAGAGAAGCATAAAGATGAATAACTACACCATAGGATAGAGCTGCAGCACCTCATTCTGTGATGAGCTTGGGTTTCAGATGTTGCAACTGTTTGATTTCGTCTGGTGTTGTAAAGGAAAGCAAAGGGCACTGGAGTGCTGTGTTCCTACCGTTGATAATGGCAGACAGAGCCCTTGGAGAAAAAACACTCATCTGCAAAGTAATGCAGAGCAGGAGGAGGCTGGGAGGAAACAGAATAATCAGGAAAACAACAAGAAGCTTCTTGAAGCTTCTTTTACATTTCTGTAGTGATTTATCCTAAAGAGATTCATCAACAGCATCTATACAGTGCCTCCAAAACACAGCCAGCCTGAGCGTGAGACGCAGCCACAAGCATGTCAGTCAGTGTCGAACTGCACACAGTGACAGGGATTCTGCAGTTCACCTGTCAAGGAGAATCTCAAACAAAGACCCAAGCAAAGCTTGTGATTACGGTGCTGGCCATAACCTGGGCCAAACCCGTGCACATGTATGAAACAATCCACAGCAGATCCTCCCTCCTGAAACAAAGGATTGCCACCTGCAAAAAGCCAGGCTTTTCTGTTATCCTAGGAACACATAGGGGGATTTTTTTTCTTTTCATCCTGAGCTCTCTCCTTCCTCAGTACAGTAATTTGTGCTTTTTTCCTTTTTTCTTTGTTTGTTGTGTGTTTTGTTTTATATTTGTCTCAGTCTGGGCACAACCACCTGGTCCACAGCTATGTTTACGGCTGTCCCAATGTTGGTGTTTGCAGCACTGGAGTGGTTCCCTGAGACAGCCATCCTGCAGGGACAACACCCCACTGCATCCATTTACCCCTGCCCAGAGGGCTGCTGCCATCACTGCTCCCAGAAATACCGTGCTGTGCTCAGCAGAGCTCAGAACCAAGGACTCATGGAGCAAGAAGCTCCACTGCTGCAAGCCAAAACCCAGCTCTGAAATTGAGGCTTCCGGGGGCACTGGGCTTAAATCAGTGAAGAGGTAAAAACATCACATGGATACACAGGGCAGAGAAAGAAAGAATCATCACATGGCTGAGTATTTTTGCTCTACACCATGACACACTCAAAGGAACAACCAAATAAATAAGCAAGGCAGCACAACACTTTGCAAAAGCTTCTCAGTCTGGAGAGGCACACAAGAAAGCTATGCCGGAAAGGCCTGTTTAGAACTATTACTGGAAGCAGCCGTCTGTTGATCTTGGGTCCCAGACCAGAACCCTTTAAAACAGCTGTTTAGGTAACATTTAAGCTAGATCTCTGACTGAAAGCCCAGTGCCTATCCCTACCAAGATGGTGCAAAGGCTGGGGGCCAGCTCCAGCCCTACGGGTGCTACCCCCACAACAGCCCGTGAGGCCGCAGCACCTCAGCTGGACCCTCCTTGAGGCCTGGGGCTGCTGCCCCAAGCAAGGCACCTCATCACGCTACCCAGCCCACTCTGAGCCCTCACACTGCCACCTGAGCCTCTCCAAGCAACAGCAATGAGCCCAAGGGATGATGCAGGGCACAGGGACAGACCGCAGGCTAGCAAAACATGGGGGGAGGAGGCAGCCGGGCAGCCGCCCAGCCTGAAGCAGAACAAGGCACGCTTGTTACCCAGGAGACTCGTTCCCACAGCAGAGAGGAGAATGGAAACTATGTCGGTGCCCTCTCAGCCCTCCGCAGGCCTTGCCAGCACTGAGGGAGGAGGCACAAGCTGCTGCCTCCCTGTCCCCACCATTGCGTTAACTGCTTCACTGACACGAACCAGACCCACACCTTGGGGCAGGTGGAGTGTGGGGCTGTTCTGCAGCAGATGAAGGGCTTCTTTGGAAAAAACGCTTTTCAGCGCATCTGCACCCCAAAGCTGACATGCACGTCATCCTCCCTGGTGCGTTACTCAGCCTTCCGCAGGCTCACACGGCCTGCACTGCCATGATGAAGGGCCCTTTGGTGCATCTCCCTGCCTGGACCTGCTCCTCTCAGCCACTGACAGGCTGTCCTGCAGCTTTGTAGACAGCAAGAGAGCACAGGCACTAACGAGGAAGAAGAAAGCTTTTTCTGTGGGATTGTCTTCTACAAGATGACTGCTCTCTGATCACAGAGATGAGTCAGTGTGGGAAGGGAAGCGTGGCTGGCGCTGGGAATGGGGACAATGCAGGCTGGCGGCTGTGCTCCTCGGGGAGGAGAGGGGAGGAAGATGGCGGGGCAGGACATGCCTGTCCCCTCTGTAACCTGGCTCCCTTCTGCCTGGCCTGTGAGCCTGGAGACGCCCCAGCATCATGCTGTATAGCTTGGTGGTAAAAAGCTTCCTAATTCTATCTTGTCAGGATTACTTTCATCTGTCTTTAGGTGCTCTGTTGGCACTGGCTGCTAAGGCTGGCTGAAACCTTCCCACTTTCACTGCAATTATACAGCAAAATCAACACAAAGAGCCCAAGCTTCCCACCAATGTGCTGCAAATCTGCTCTGATCAGTGAAGTGGAAACAGCCCAGACCCACAGCCCAGCTGGCCACCTGGGCTGCAGCTGTGATACCACACGCCGGTTGGGAAAAAGGTTTTCATCACACCAGGCATTGTGCACAACCTGCCCACCCTTGCCACAGACCAACAGCCCCAGGGCCACAGCAGCACATGGGTATAATCCAGCACAAGGAGCTGCCTGCCTCCTTTTGCTAAAGGATGGTTGTTGGCTCTACCCTTCTTGCACCGGTGTCTGTGCCTAGCTATCTGTGGGTGATGCAGTGAGGACAGGCCTAGGACACATCTTTTGGATCATTATAGCTCTGCTTATAGCACAGACACAGAACGGACAGATACTACCACACCTTTCCAGTTGGTGGACAATTCAGGAGTAGACTTTCTACCTTGCTCAGTGATTGCTCAAGGCAGAAATCTGAGTCCCCAAGTCAAAGCAACCCCATCCGCCACAGGCTGTCTCAGGGATGCTGGTCACAGCAAAGCCAGTAGTGTACTCCTGCTCAGTGGGAGCAAAAAGGACCGGGATACAAAGGATAATAGGAAAGAAGGAGGTGCTGCAAAATTTATAAATGTTCTCAACAAGAAAAAAAAAACACACCATTCCCTATGCCTGCAAGCCCTGGCTTTCAAGGTCAATTGACGTCCCTCACGAATACACAGAGATCAATACTGGCTAATCATTACCAATCCGTACTTGACAACTTTTCTATTTGCTGGGAGATGAGAACAAACATAGGAGTTCTCAAATTAGAGGTCAAAACTTCAACCAGATTGAGGAACACACATGGTAGTGTTGTGCTAGTGCCTGCCCGTAGTCCCCACATTCTCCCCAGAGGGTCATCTATTGATTCCCACTAAGCCTGCCTTTGGAGCATGTCCAAGGACAGACATAAGAGCCTGCGAGGCCATGCAGGTTGCAGACAAGTTTCTAACAGCAGGCTTCATCAGGAACCCTTTGGTCATCCTACCCCAACAAGCCCTGCCTATGGCCCAGAACAGCAGTACTAGTTTCTTTAGGGCTTAGCAAACTCAGGCAAACCAGAACGTGGCTCGGAATGAAAAAGTTGCTGTTGGTTTTTACTCTCAGAAATAGACATTTCTTGTTACTAACCATATTCTAACAGAATTAATTCCCAACTTCATTCCTCTGATGTTTAAGAATCTTCTCTGAATTTACAGCTTATCTTTATCCATGCATAGCTCATCCCTATTCATTCCTGTTCCAAAAATGGTCTTTAATGTCACTATTTATCCAGTCTGTGTTTAAAGTTACATCATCTGAGTTCTTTAATCACTCAGCACGAGGCAGGCTCTCCATCTCTTTGATCATACCAGTAACCCTTCTCTGGACATGACCTATTTTGAATACATCCTTCAGAGAGTGACTAGAAATGCAGACAATCTTCCAAGCCAGCCATCACCATGCCTTAAACCCCTCAGATTCCCCAGTTGCTGCTACAAATATTTTATCCAATATGTCACAATAGATAACATTTATCTTTTTACTGATACTCTCAGTTACCCTCCACATTACTGACAGGCCCTGAGTTTTCCTTTGCCTTCCTTATTTTCCCTAGGGAGCTCCCAGACAAAGCTGAACTTTTTGCTTATTTCTCATGCACACATTCATCTAATTTGAACTATCCAGTTCTAACCTGTATTATTCCTTAAGGACTTCAAAGTCTTTTCTGCTGAATAACCCTAAACTGCCTTTGAATTGATGATCCTTCTTGGCTTTTTGTCTTTAGGAAACATCAGCAATATTACTTTCCAGAGCCCAGAACATTATCTCATGTAATAAAAGGCTGCATTCTACCAGCAACTTCCCTTCAGACCAGCAGATCCTCATTCAACATTCTTGTTAATCTCCCTTTAGCCTGTGTGCTGCTCCTTACCCTCCTTACCTCTCAGCAAAGGGAATTATGGATAGGAAAATTCCACACAGATTCAGCAGGAGGCATGACAAGCACTTGAGAGATGCATTTCAGGTAACCTAACTGACAAAATACAACAGAATTATCAAATCCTACTCTCTCCCCCACCTCGCCCCCTTTCCCTCCCCTCCCCCCCCCCCCCCAAAAAAAAAAAAAAAGAAAGAAGATATCCTGTCTCCTTGCCTAGCTGACAACCTCTTTTGGTAAATAAATACTGGGCTAAGGTGGATCCTTCATCCAAATTACTACAGCAATTTTCATCTTTTTTTGTATTAAGGTCAAACCCTTCGTATTGCTAGTGGCTGATGCTTTACTGCCCAGTCACAGAGGCATTGCAAGCTCCATAAAAAGTCACAACTACCAGACAGGGCTAGTTCTGGCATGGCTCCCACAGGGTTGGGCTGAGTTCCACATAACTCAACAATACTGAGATGGCTACGGAAATCCAAACCCAGCCCACAATCAGCTTGTCTGTCTCCAGTCCCTTCCAGGCCAAAAATCCAGGACATTCATACTGTTCTTCCAGGAAATGGCTGCTATCAACATCTTACACAAAGGACTCTGGAGCAAGAGGGAAGTACAAATCTCTCCGAAAGCTCTAGGAAGAAGAATTGATTCAAGAACGCCAGTATCAGCCCTGATACACAGCAATCTCCATGCAGGTGCACAAAGAAATAGGTGAACATTTTTAGACGGAGGAAAATCAGGACAGAAACAGTAGAGCAGCTCCTGAATTGTTGTCTGAAGTCTCAGCTTCAATCTGATAAACAAAGCTCATAAAGCTGTACTGTAAACCTTGGATTAAAGCAAAGCCTGGATGTAACTGATGCAGGCTGGAGATTTCAAAGCGTCTGAAGCAGGAGCTGAGCTGTAACAGCAACCCTCTTTCTTCAAGCACTCACTCAAATTCCCATACTGAGTGGGAATATGAACTCTGACCAATGAAAGCATTGACAAAAGGAACTAGAAAGAGTATTATTACAAAAGCATATATACCTTCATATCTGGCTTGTTCTGAGCAGCCCGTGGGAGCCACAGATATGAAGGTGTTAATGAATTGACTTCTGTAAGAATCAATTTTCAAAAACAAGAACGATTGTCTCCACAGTAAAATGTACCTTATGAATTTTAACTAGTACATTTTCAATGTAACCTAATACTTTCCCACTGCCATGAGGGATCTTAAAAGTCTTAAGCTGCCATACTACATCATATGTCGAAGCTGGTGAATTTGGTAGCCACACTTCTGCTGCATACACTGGTCTGTATTCTGACATCAAATTAAAATGGCATTATTTCCAACTGTGCAGCTGAGGAGTCACAAGGCTGAGCTGAATCTGTGCAGTCCTAAGATGGTTCACTATCTACATACTAAGCACAACCAGCGTCGGCTGTGTACACAGAGGGCATTGCTGGAGAAAGGTGACTGCTTCTGGTTCCTGTGATGTAAACTGAAGTGACATTCTCTTCCCTCCACAGGGGATGACTCCAAGTGAGGGTGACTGTACTGCAAACAAGTCAGCTCAGAGACTATAAATGGGTGGGACGTAGCATGGCAAGCAGGAAAGGAGAAAAACAGCCCTGTTGGATGCAGGAAGAGGCCACATCCAAGAATGGAAAAAGCCTCTTTTAGTACTGAGTCATAAATATTCCAGTTTTCCAAGGCAACAGCTAGCACAAAGAATGCTCTCGGCTTCACACAGAAAACCCACACTCACCTCCCTCTGCGCATGCCTAGGCGCTTCTCTGCTATTGCTGCTGAGAGCTACAGCAAAAGACACAGTCAGAGCTGCCAGCTCAACACAAAGCTTGCCGTCAGATCTCCCCTTTCTCAAACCTTCCCACCCTTACCACAGAAACCGGCGAGCACAGAACTACTGGCTGATTTATTACAGATGTATGATACTAATTATGGTTGATTATACTGCTTTTTTTTCCTAAGTTTGTACATTCGCCACCCAAACCGAAGGAGCAGTGCTGTGCTGCAGTGTTACCTGCCCCAGATTGCTATGTTTTAGCAGCAAGCAAAGAAATCTCTAGATAACTGCTGGCTTTTGCCAGCAGTTCTGATTACAAGAGACCATGGAAGGTACATTCACAGGCCATTCACCAGTACTTTGAAATCTTGTTAAGGGGAGAGGGAACAGAACTGCGAACGGAGAGCTACTGAAAACGTATGCTAAAAAGCCTACATATTGCAGGCTTGCAGCTAAATCCTGCAGACCTCCATCTACCTCTTGTGCATCATACCCACTGGATCTGAAACAGAGTGTATGTCTTTTCATCTGTACCATCTCTGGTACCAATACTGTTAGCTGAAGGGTAAGGTCAACACATAAACAGCAAATTAACATAAATTATAACCATTACCATGACACCTCACACAGCACAGCCTGCACATCCTCACCCATAATCATCATGCACGACCAGCTCATTAAGAAGGGATTTGTGGTTACCATAGATCACAGGCTGAACTTGAGTAATAGTGGCATTTTGCTTTGAAGTAGACAAACAGTATGTAGGGCTGTATGAATACATGACATATGCAAGGCATGGAGTAATCCTTCCTCTCTACCCTACACTGGTATGTGCCCCAGCTCTGTATCAATCTGGCAAAGATATGGACAAACTATAGAAGATGCAAAGACAGCAGCAGAATGAATAAAAGAAGTAAAATGCAAAGCAAGCAGTTAAGCCATCTGTAGAAAACTATTGGGTACAAGAAGGCAGTTCTGAAATACATAAAAGGCTGCTGTCAAGAAGAAGTTAATAAGCCATTCTCCACATCCCAGGGCAACAAGAATAGGGGCTGCCTGTGGGGCAGCCAGGGAGGTTTAGGTCAAACAGCAAGCGTGACAGATAAAACATTTATTATTTTACAAAAAACAAGCAAACAAACAAAAAAACCCAACCCAGAACACCACAGCAGTCAGAAGATAAGCATGGTTTTCTTATTACAATGCATGGTGCTGTATGTCTCAGAAGCTCTTTGCTTTACTTATTTAAAGGCATACATTCCTGTTAGCTTTTGCAGGCACTTAGTGTGACAAATTGGAAATAATTTATTTTCCTGGGTTCTCTGACAAAGAAATGTCCATCTTAGGACCTTGGCCAATCCAGTGTGCCATGACATCAGGATACACCGAAGAAGAGAAAAGATTGGGCTGAAAGGATATGAGGTGCAGCAATAATATTGCAATCACTGGGAGTTTCTAGGGAGATGAAACAAAGAAACGTGAGGAATGGCATTGCCTGGGTCAACTATGCCATGTTAGGGAGATGGATCTCCACAGCATCTAGAGGACTTATTCTTGTATGATTTCTGTTTGACTCAGAGAAGCAGGAAGCCTCTAATGCAGGATTAAAAGCCTAGATCAGTTTACTCAGGCAGAATCCCTGGAGAAACAGAAATATACTTCTGGAAAGATGCAGCAACTCCATAAGTGAAGATGGACCATATAAAAGCATCCCATGCCGGCAGATCCAGTAGCTAATCCACTGGCTGAATTAGCTTTTCTCATGAACTTGTTGTTCTGTTGAAGATGACCCATGACCAGAGCTGATAACTCTCCTCACTTTCTCTTTGGTGATCATGACCTCTTCCCATCTAAGAGAGCAGGCTGCACCGGACAGTCACCAAGCTGTACCACAGATCTCCATGT